TTCCTTCCACGTTTTACTTTTCAAAAGAATTCAGCAGTTTTCTTCTGTTTGGTTTTTTTTTTAATTAAAAACCAAACTTTAAAAAAAACCCCAAAACCTTTAAAAAGCTGAAAATGTAAAAACACCTACTTGAAAATTCAGGGAAAAAAGGGACAGGCTGCAGTTGAGTCTTGCACCTTTAGTTCCTTCCACGTTTTACTTTTCAAAAGAATTCAGCAGTTTTCTTCTGGTTTTTTTTTTAAATTAAACCCCAAACTTTAAAAACAAACAAACAAACATAAAAACCCCCTTTAAAAATCGTGGCTAAAAGGCACAGAGAGGAAATTTCTCCCAGGAAACCATTGATCCATTGGTGAAGACCAAACACAGCCCCATCCAGGGCAGGGAAGAACAGTTGTGTCCTGGCCCAAAACACTCCCAATTCCCGGTGTTTGATGAATCCACGGAGCTTTGTGTTATTCCAGCAATCCCAGAGCAGCTCCAGCCACGTCCTCCCTGCCCAGGGGGAGCATTTCCAAGCAGGAAAATCCAGGTTGTGGGCCCAGCAGTGACTCTGCCCAGGGCTGAGGCTGAAGGAATCAATTCTACAAACCGGTAGAAGAAGTAAAATTTCACTTTATTTAAAAATTCTTCTAATATAGAAAACGAGAGGGGGCCCAGAGGGTGGTGGGACAGGGCCCTTCTCATTCCAGGGGTTCAAGTGTATTTACAGGGAGCAGGAGCAGGGGCTGGGAATGAATCCCTGTCCTGCTCCTGGGGGCCCAAAAACACTCAGCACACGGGGACAGGACCTGGGGGGACATTAAATACACACGGGGGGGGCAGGGACAGGGGCACTGCAGCCTCTTTGCTCCCTCCTTTCCCAAAAAAAAACCCCACCAGGATTCCCTTCACACCCCCCTGTCCACGGCAGGATCTGCTGGAGGGCTCAGGGAGCCCTGACATCCCCCAGGATTTGGGAAAACTGGATGAAATCAGAGCAGGGGGAGCTCAGGCAGCTTCAGGCCCTCGTTTATCAGGCAGTTTTTTTGCTCCTGATGGGTTTTTATTCTTATTTTATTTTGATTTGATTTCTTTGGAACTCCCCAGCCTGATCCAGGTGCCCTGGGTGGTTGGGCCTTTGCTGTTCCTGCTGCAGGGAATGGGATACAAGGGGCAAAAACACGTCTCCAGAACTGCAGTCTCTATACATATATCAGTTTTTTTTTACACTATCTACAACCAGGGATTAGGTGGGTTAAAGTTCCTGCTACTCCTTTAAAAATACCCAGAGGAAAAAACAAGCAAACCAAAAAAAAACCACAAACCCCAAACCTGTACATTTTTCTCTAAATTACATCTTTAGAAGAATAATTTTTTGTGTGTGTGTGTGTTTTTTAGAAGCTCATAAAACACTTCAGGGGTCGTTTGGAAAGAGAGAGAGAGAGAGAGAGAGAGAGAATTAAATGATTGGACAAGACAGGTTAGAAATTTGTTCAAATCAAGTCAAACAGACCAAGCACTTGGACAGAGTATTTTTGTAAACTTCTAGTTTTGCTGTTCAACTTTTACACACTGGAAATGAGCAGAACTTTCAGCTGAGGGCCTCGTTCTCAGCCCTGTTACAATACAAAAGGTACTGAAAAGCAAAAAAAAAAAAAACTATTAAATAATTTAATATACAAGTGTAGTTAAAAAGCTTCTGTACATTGTCACTGATGTACATCGGACTGGAGAGATAGAAAATCACCGGGTTATGTTCAAATTTACACAGGGGTTGGAGTCCTGGGGTGGGAAAAGGGGGCTCTGGAGCTGTTTTGGGACGGGGGGGAGGGTTTTGTTGGGCTCAAAGTGATCCCAGGTGGATCCTCCCGATGTGGCAGCACATGGATCCTGCTCCAAACCCCTGAGATCAGCATCACCCTTCCCTCCAGTCCTTCCTTCCCTCTCCCCCTTCCTTTTTTTTGTTCCAGCCTGGATTGGAACTCTCCAAAGAAGCCTGGATCACCCCTAAGGACCAGGAGAAGCCACACTGGGAATTGTCACCGGGAATTTGTGTCCCTGCCCCCCCCATCTCCAGCTCTGGGGGGTCCCTGAGCAGCACGAGGAGGTCGGGAAATGAACCTTCCCCAACAGGCACTGCTGGACATCTCCCTGCAAGAGGCTTTTTTTCCCCAACCACAGCTCTCTGGGGTCGGGGTTTTGTCAATCCTGCCCTCCAGGAGCTGCCCCCAATCCCTGGAAGGGTTTGAGCCCAGCTTGGAGCAGCCTGGTCTAGTGGAAGGTGTCCCTGCCCGTGGCAGGGGGTGGGAATTGGATGATCCTAAAGGTCCCTTCCCAACCCAACCCACTCTGGGAATCTTGCTCCTAAAATTAAAAGAGCTCGAGATTAAAGTGAATCACGGAATATTCTGAGCTGGAAGGGACCCAGTTCCTGACAGCTTCAGGTTGGATGGACAGACAGACAAGAGGGTGCCTGGGGTTGGGTTTCCAAGCCCCTCTTTTCCAGTTGCTCCTCGTTCCAGAGCTCAGGGCACTGCCAAGGGCAGGGAAAAGCATTTGAGGGTTTAAAAACTGAGTTGTTGCAACTCAGTGACTTCCAGAGGGGAGGAAAAAAAAGGGAGATCCTGCTTCCCACACCAGGGAAAGGCAGAGCAGTCCATGGGGCATCAATATTCCCAAGGGGGGGATAGTTCCTGATCCCAGCCCAAGCACAGGGTGGGTGCTGAGCTCCTGGGGGGTTCTGTCTCCACAGTGGGACCCCAAAGCTCACCCCAAACTGGGGGCCTGGAGCTCCCATGGGAATGCTTTGGGATTCAGAGCCTCAGGCACACCCCAGGAGCTGGATCCTCCCCGGACTGGGGCCTCTGGATCACACATTTCTTTCCTTTTTTTTGAGTTTAAACAGCCCTGAGGGTTTTCCTTGCAGTGCCAGGGACAAGATTCCCTGCCTGGAGTGGTGTCAAGGCCACGTTTTCCCCTCTGGAGATTTAACAAGGCCTAAAACACACCAGAGCCCAAGGTCTGGGATCAGGATCTCCACGGGACAGGAACCACAAAATCCTGCTTTGGTGACTGGACAAAACCCTGTCCCTGGAATGTCCTTCAGAGGGGAAAACTGAAGGGTCTGGATTGCAAAAAAACCCCACTTCTGAGCTGCTGAGAGAGAGGGGAGGGGAACTGGGAAGGAAAAATGAGCCCTGGGGGCTGAAGTGAGATGATTTTAAGGTCCTTTCCAACCCATCTGTGACTGAAGAGAAGGTTTAGGGGGTCAGTTCCCTCTCTGCCTGAATCACTGAGAGCCCTCCACGTTCCTCTGATGAATATCCAGAGCTACCAACAGAGAAAAACACCTTTATTCAACCCCAGGAGCCTCCCAGGCACTGCTGGGCCCTGGCAAAACCTGGAATTAAACTCCTCCCAGCTCTCTGCAAGGCCCAACCCGTGCCCTGCTCTGAGGCTGCAGAGGCACAGGGAGGGAGAACTCACAGCTGGAGAGTCCAGAAAACTGAGCTAGAACAGGGAATGTGACCTGGGAAAGCCTGGACACTGGGCAGTTTTGCCCAGGGCAAGACTAGTTTTATTCTAAGCCTCTGGCTTAGGTTGGGTCTGGGTTTAACCACCTGGTTTAACTCTGTAAATCCTTAAGGCACAGGTGCCTTCACTGCCAGGCTGCAGCAAAGATGCAAAAAGGCTGTTTTTTTCCCCAGGAAGGGATCAAACAGGAGGAGAGGAACGTTCCTGCTTCCACAAAACCCCAGGAAGCCACGGGGAGAGCTGTGGTTCCAGGCCAGGGAGAGGGGAGGGAGGCCCTCACAGGGACACAGGGGTGGCTCCAAAATCTGCCCCAGCTCCTCCTTCTCCAACAACAGCACAAAAAACCCCCAGAATTCCACCTCAGAAACTACACTGGGAACTTCAGGGCACCCCAAAATCCATCATGATTTCACCCCATCACCCCCAGGGAGGGCACAGGAGCAGGATCACACTCCAGGGAAAAGGGGGGAGTGGATCCAAGTTGAGTCCTCTTCGCTTCCCAGGAGCTCCCAACCAGGAGGGATCTGAACAGAGGGAAGGAACACGAGTCCTTTGGACTAAAAAAACCTCAATTCTCAGCAAGAGGGGGAGCAGCTCAAACCAAACCTCAATTCTCAGCAAGAGGGGGAGCAGCTCAAACCAGCAGCTCTACGAACACACCCTGGGATATTCCCACCTGGAAAAGCAGCTCCTGCTGCCCTTCCCACCACAGCTCCTTGTCCTTCTGCCACCTCTGCCCTAGCAAGGCCTCCCTCCCAGAGGAATCTGCTGCCTTTTCGTGGAAGAAAAGGGTTTTGCATGGATTATTTTTTTTTGTGTGTGTGGTTTTTTTTCTCCTTTTTTTTTTGTTTTGTTTTGTTTTGTTTTGTTTTTTGGCTTTTGTTTTGGTGGAGGTTTGTCCTGAATAGTTACTGTGGTTCACAGGAGGCTGGCCAGGCTGGTGGTGGGGCCGTTCTGGGCCTGGAACTGCACGGGGGGAGGTCCATCTGTCCACTGCAAGAAGAACAACACACACACACACACTGTGAAATTCCCGGGAAAAGCCTCCCTGGGAAAAGCAGGACTGGCCACCCAGAGCTTCCTTGAAACTTGGGGGATCCCATGTTTCACCCCCCCCCCCACGTGCCAGGTTTGGGTTTTCCACATCCCTGGAATTGGTGTTTCTTCAGGAGCCCCTTCACACACCCAGCATTCCCAATCCAGGGGAAGCAATTCCTGCTCTTCCAGGGACAAATCTGACCCCTGAACATGGAAAAGCACAAGCAGGGACCCACCTGGATGTGCCAGAGGCTCCCAGAGCAAGGCAAAGGGGGCTCATTTCGTTGCTTATTTCCCTCTCACCTCCACCAAAAATCTTCCAAAATTGGGTATTTATTTATTTCTTAATCCTTTTTTTTCCCCCCCTCCAGGTTTTCAATCCAGGGCATCTCTGTGCCTGGCTCAGGATGGCTCAGGGAGGGATGGATGGATGGGGGCAGCTGGCTCTGAGATCCCCCAAAACTGCTGCTCACAAACCCCACGACCCTCAAAGCTCTCCCTGTGAGCAAAGCCAGCAAACAGCACCTCCCTCCTGGCCTTTCCTCTCCCCTTTTCCTCCCAAAAGATGTCCAATTCCTCACATCTCACATTCCCCTTTGGATGTTCTCTCTGTTATTTCAGAACAGAATCACCTCCTGCTGCTGCTGAGGGAACTAATCCACATTTTTAAAAATGTGTTAAAACGGTTCTGACAGGAAAAACAGCAATATTTGAACTCCAGATAAATAAGATGGATATTTATAGATAAATAAATCTATTTAGATAAATCTAAATAGATAAATCTATTTATTTATCTATAAATATATGGGAAAAAAAACCACTTGGGAATGCTGAAGTCCCAGTAAAAACTGCCCTTTGAGCTGTGTCCAGCAAAGCATTCCCAGGACAGGATGGCCCAAAGCCTCCAATTAAGTTTAGACCAAAAGCAACAGCTGCCACCCAAAACAAGAGGCCACTTGATCACATCAAATGGCCCCAAAAGCCATTTAAAAAAACAAACAGGAGCTCTGGGGTGGCAAGAAAACACCTGTAAGAAGCAAAGCCCAAAGCCACAAGAATGAACTCCCTGGGTCACCTCTCCTGCTGTCACAGTGCCACCAACCAACCCTCACAAAAATCACTTTTCCTGCTCTCAGAGCTGTTTGAACTGCAGGGATTTGCCTGAATTTGGGGAGCTGAGTGGGGAAAGGTGCAGAGGAAGGCAGGGGCTGTGCCCTCACCGTGATCAGGTTGTGCTCGGGGAGGCTGCAGGCCTCGATGTGGTCCTGGAGCAGCTGCTGGGAGAAGTTCTGGTGCATCTGAGCCGCCTCGTGAGCGTCCATGGCGTTCCCACAGGCCTTGTTGAGGTCTGGAAGACACCAGGGGAAAAATAAACCCCACTGCTTTGCACCCCAATGCCAAGGAAGCAGCTCCCTCACCGATCCCTGGGTTGGATGGGGATCATTCCAGCACCAAATCACGTCGTTCCGGAGCAAAAACCTCCTGGAGAAACCCCAATTCTTCCCTTTTCCAGCAGGATTTGCTGCTGTTTCAGCTTCCAGCTCTCCAAAGGAACATCAAAGCAGCTCCACGAGGAGGGAGGAAACTCCTGACACCACTGGAAGCCCCTGAGCAGCCTGGGCTGGGATTTTCTGCCTTCCAGCCCCATCTAGTGGGACCGGGACAAATCCACTGCTTCCACCACACACATTCCAGGGATCAAGCATCCAGCCTGGCCTTGGACACTTCCAGGGATGGGGCAGCCACAGCTTCTCTGGGAATTCCATCCCAGCCCCTCCCCACCCTCCCAGGCAGGAATTCCTTCCCAATATCCCATCTAAATTTCCCCTTTTTCACTTTGAAGCCATTCCCTGTGTCCTGTCCCTCCATCCCTTGTCCCCAGTCCCTCTCCAGCTCTCCTGGAGCCCCTTTAAGCCCTGGAAGGGGCTCTCAGCTCTCCCTGGATCCTTCCCTTCTCCAGGTGAACCCTCCCAGCTCTCCCAGCCTGGTTCCAGAGCAGAGGGGACTCTGGGCTCCCATTCCACCTCTGGGCATTCCCAGCCATCCCCAGGAAGGCCCTTTTTTCCCCCCTCACCTCTGAGCAGGGCTGAGGACCAGAGCTGCACAGACATGTCTGGGATCTTGCTGGCCAACTGCATGGCCGGGACCACCATGTTGTTGCTTTCCTGGGGGGGAGCAAATAAAAATAAATGGGATATTTGGGGTTTTTTTTCACCCCTTGCAAACACACAGGTGTCAAATCTGCCACAAAAAATTTGCCTCCTCTAATTTGTGCCTCGTTCCCAGTTGGGAGCCTTTGATGGGACAACCCCCCCAAAAAACTCATCCTAGAGCTGCCTGGGATTTGCTCCATCCTGGGAATTCCAGTGCAGCACAGCAGAATATTCCCTGTGCTCCAGCACAAGGGTGAGATTTCAGGATTGTATCCACAATTCCTCCCTGAACAATCCAGTGGAACGATGCCACTTGTCCTTTTCCAGCCATTGTGGAACAGACACTTCAACCACCCGATTAAAGTTATTAAACGTGCAAATCTCAGATCCAAGGCAACAAACTGCCAACTTTTTGTGGGATAGCAATAAAAAAAGATTTCTTTCTCACCCTGTGGTTGCCCAGCACGTAGAAGATGTGCCCCAGCAGCACCAGGGAACAGGCTGTGAGCCGGTTCAGATCCTCTGCATTGGACATCTTCAGGGTCTCCCTCAGGAACCGCCTGGAAAACGGGGAAAAAAAGGGGGTTTGACAACATCCCTTCCCTCCCAGCAGAGAAAAACCATCGTGGAAAGCTGAATCAAGAGCTGAATTAACTGGAAAACATCAGGAGTAGGGGATGAACGTGCTGCAGGGGATCTCAAAGGGCTGAATTCCCAAAGCTCGGCTGCCACTTGGCAAAAAAGGCTGTGGCAGAGCTGCTCCCCTTTGGAAAACTGCACCAAGGACACGAGATTCCAAAGGATCCCACAGGAGAGAGATCTGGGTTTTCAGTGGGACAAACTCAACACAGGCTAAAGTGCATTAAAACTACTTTAAAACTTCACCTTGTCTGTTAGAAGGGGGAGGAAAAACAGGCAATAAATTATGGAAAAGCACAACCCTTAACTAAATTTCCTGGGAGGGAGTTGTGAATTCAGCTGATAGCTCCAGGAGTTCTCCAGGAGTTCTGGGTTCAGTTTTTGTGGGATGGGTGGGCAGGGATTGGGGGGAAAGGAGGAATTAATGCAGCTTTTTGGGATCAGAGTGGAAACCCCGAGGCCTCATTTCTGCCTCTTCTCCCCGGGGGTTTTTCCAACCTCTTGCTTTATTTAGGGGAGAACAGCAGGAAAGCTGTTGGGTTTGGATCCCCAAGGGGTTTGTACTCACTTTGCCTCGTTGTATCTTCCCTGGAAGAAGGAGAAGAGGCCTCGGATGTAAAAAGCTGCAGCTCGGAGACAGTGGGAGCTGGGGAGAAAAGCACAAGTTGGGAATCTCAGCAGGGATCAGGGAATTACACACGGATTGCTGGGAATTTCCCCCCCAGAAAAAAAATCCAGCTTCCCAACTCATTATTATAGTTAAAGTCAGAACTTCTGCCTTGGAAATAAGTGGAGTGTTTTCCTTCCTCTTTCAAACCCTGCCACAAATCCCCTGTTCCCGGAGCCGATGGAATTCTCACCTCACGGGAAAATTGTGGTCTGGATTTATCCTTTCCAAGAGGCTGTAGAGCTGCAGGGTGGGAGAGGAGAGGGAATAATCAGCATTTCTCACACACACAGGGTGACAAAGTGCTTTTTTTTTTAAGTGTAAGTCAAACCAGAACGGTGCAAACGGCCCCAAACACACGGGAATTCCCTCCCTCCGGTGGGATCAGGGCACACACACTCCAACATTTGGAGCTTTTGTGCCCATTTTGAACCCAAAATCAAGTTTTAGATAAAATATCCTTTCTCAGACCTTGGGGGATTTTCTAGGCAAAGATTTTATCTCCCCAGGAAACTCATGGCTGTTGTGTCTCAGCTGTCCAATAACCCCAGACCTGGGGTTTGATCCCAACCAGAATTCCACCCAGCCAAGAAAAAATGGTCCATTTTTAATTATCATTTTTCTCTCTCTAAGCCTCTTTCCCCCCCCCAAAAGTCCTTTTGTGGGTTGTGGCAAAGTTCACGTGGAGCCTTTTCATGAGACTCCTGCAAACACACCTCTGAAGGCCCCTCACATCCCTCAGAGAGTGGGAATGGGGGATTTTGCTCCTCACATCCCTCAGAGGGTGGAAATGGGGGATTTTTGGGAAAATTTGGGGACTGGAACAGCCTCAGGGTGAGGCCAAAGGAACACAACACCTGCAGGGACCTGTTTGTGGCTGCCCAGTTATTGATGGAACCCCCCAAAACCCCCGAGCAGAGGGACAGGGGAGCCAAAAGGTTGGGTGGGGAAGGTGGGAGTAAAGCCACGATTCTCATGGGAAGCTGGGAAGGATCCTGGGGATGAGCCAGAATCCTGAGGGTGATCCAGAACACTCTGATCCAGAACACTCTGATCCAGAATATATTCTGATCCAAAATATATTCTGATCCAAAATATATTCTGATCCAAAATATATTCTGATCCAAAATATATTCTGATCCAAAATATATTCTGATCCAGAGCATTCTGACCCAAAACATTCTGATCCAAAACATTCTGACCCAAAACATTCTGATCCAAAATATTCTGGCCCAGAACATTCTGATCCAGAACATTCTGATCCAAAATATTCTGACCCAGAACATTCTGATCCAGAACATTCTGATCCAGAACATTCTGATCCAAAATATTCTGATCCAAAATATGTTCTGATCCAAAATATGTTCTGATCCAGAGCATTCTGACCCAAAACATTCTGATCCAAAACATTCTGACCCAGAACATTCTGACCCAAAACATTCTGACCCAAAACATTCTGACCCAAAA